CCTTGGAACAAAAACCCTCCCTCAACCTTATAATCTCATCTCTCTTCCAGTTCATGACCATGAGTTCTAAAAATTTTTCAATGTTGCCTCATTGACATTCTCAGTTTTTGGTTTTGGACATTTTTGATTCTCACCCTCTTCTTGGACAATAGTACACATTGTTATGGCTTCAACTATCACAAAATACAAAGAACTAAATCTTTGTTATCCAGCCCTGTTTTCAGAAGATACATGTGGATTTGCCCAGTCCATCATTTGTCTCATCATTTCATACTCAACACACATATTCTTCAACTATCTCATAACCCACTTTGCCTACTATAAAACCTATTTTCCCCTCTATTAACCATCTCAACAGGAATGCTTTCTCTCTCTCTCTCATCTATTTGGTCACTAATTTGGAATTATTCTACCCCTTGAATCTCAGCACACTTGGAACATTTTTTCCTCTTTGCTATGCCCAATCACTGCTGCTCTTTAGCAAACTGAGGTTTCTACTAGTCAGCCATAAAAAAGAATGAGATCTTGCCACTTGCAACAACATGGATGGACCTAAAGGGTATTACACTAAGTGAAATAAGTCAGACAGAGAAAGACAAATACCATATGATTTCACTTATATGTGGAATCGAAAAAACTAACCAGCCAAACAAACAAACAAAAGCAGAAACTGTCCCATAAATACAGAGATCAAACTGATGGCTGCCAGAGGGAAGGGGTGGGGGATGGGCAAAAAGAGTGAAGGGGAGTGGGAGATACTAACTTCCAGTTTTGGAATAAATGGGAAACAAAGGTACAAGCCTAGGGAATATAGGGAATGGTATTGTAATAACATTGTATGGTGACAGATGGTAACTCCACTTGTAGTGAGCACAGCATAACAAATAGAGTTGTCAAATCACTAGGTTGTACATCTGAAAATAATAACATTGTGTGTCAACTATACTTCAAAAAAAGATACAAACAGATAATATACTTTAGTATCTATCTGTATCTATTTAATTCCTGAGAAACTGCTATGTATTTATTTTTATAAAGTTCATTAATGTGGAAAACAAATCTAGGTATCAATATCTTTGCTCAAAATAAATTTCAGGTAGATAATAGCATCAAAATACAAATATTGTCACAAGATGCATCTAGAAATTATATTCTTAAGGGACATGTTAGAATGATATAATAAATGCTTCAGAAGTTTCTTTTTTGCATACTTTTATTAGAATACATTTTTTACTCTCATAACATCAGCAGGGAAATAATTCAAATGAGGTGAGCCACTAACAACGTTTTGTTAAAATATCAGTAGAAATTCCATTTATCAGTTGTTTTGTTCATAGTTAAATGCATTGTATATGATTTGCCTTGTGATCCTTTATCTTGTTTCTCAAATGCCATCCTATCTTGAATTAGCATTGGCTTTCATTATATTTAACACTAAAATTTCATTTTAATTGTGTTCAGTTATGATTATGTGGGAATACCCAGCAGATAGTGTGGATATCTTCGCTTTGGCAAAAATAGAGTGAAGGAGTATTATAGGCTTCAGACACACCACTCAGAGGTAAGAAAGTCTAATTTTGTCCTCTCCTAGTGCAAAACACTTTAGCAGATATTCATTTTATATCGGTTCCTATTCATCTCTTTCCTATTTGGGGATATACAGCTTCTCTAATTAATTGAGATCTATGTATTTTTCCTACCTTGTGAGGTGTTATTCAATTCATCTAATTTAGAATATCTGCTTAACATAATGAATTACAGTGTAGAGTTGAGGAATAGAAAGAGATGTGTACTAAGAGTCTGGAATCTTGGATTTGTAAGAAGAGTATTTCTCTAACTCGTCATTCTCTTTATTCATGGATAACATGTTTAAGAATTGTGATAGCTAGCAACATCCTGTCCTTTAGGGATATACTGCCTAATAGAGACAGAATTTGTACCAGAGTTCTACAGAACTTAAGCAATACATCTTAAATGGCATAAATGACCTACCACACCATGTCAAGATACTTCTAAAGCCCTAAAGATGTTGGCTGATTGGGACAAGTGAGCTTATATTAGAGTTCTGGATGTTAAAACAGCTAATTAGGGTGCAGCCAGAGTAGTAAATTATATTTGATTACACACAGTAAACTTATGTTCAGGGAAGCAAAACAGGGAAGAAGGGTGAAAAAGAAAGAAAGAAAAAAAGGAAAAAGAAAGTTCAAGTAGATAGAATTAGAAACCTCAATTAATGTAATTTCATTTCATTTTCTCTGCATATGAACTGTACTCTGAAATGTTAGAGAATGAAACTAAATTTAACACTATATATAGATATAGATATCATAAGTCCATGTTGGGTGGAATTGAAAATTTTTTGATGTTTGATCTTCTGACTCCTTAGTAATAAATAGACTAGAAAGAATCATAAAAATTGTTAAAAAAATTTTTTTTGAACTAATTAGGTTGTTCAAAATAGAAAGCAACCAATGTTCTAGCAGATACTTTTCATAATACACATAGACACTGAAAATTGCCTTGCTTATTCATTTGCATTCCACAATAAATTTCAGATACTATTTGCTGTCTAAAATTTTTTTGTTAATCTATCAAATAATATCAGAAGCACAGTCATAGACAATCTCCCCAGATGATCTCTATAATAAGAGTCAGTTTCATAATTCTCAGTTTTTATTCTTGAGAACCTATTTGTTCAGAACAAAAGTAATTCATTTGAAACTACTATCCTATATGAAGTGGAAAAAGCCAGAGAGGGTCATCTATAATTTTTCATTATTCAATGACTTTTTCTTTAATCTTCTTTTAAAATGTAAAAGCTATATGAAAGCGAGACAATACTTTTGCTTTCTTCCATGTGATTTGGATCAAACTAAAAACAACAGTATAATGTAATAAAGCTGCATTATAAAAGTACCTGTAGCAAGGTGAATCTGATGCAATTAAAAAAGATCAATATAAGAAAAAAAACTTCCAAGTGACACAATTTTTTGAACTTTCAAAACTGTGCATTCTACAAGAAACAGAAGCACACTGACAGGAAGTGTTAAATATTTAAAAAGTTATCAGTAAACATAAATCTGTCTAATGCATTGTAGTTTCACTTACTCTACTAGTACTTGGTCTCCCTCATAAAAGTAAATGCAATAGAATTCTAAAATACAGAAAACTGTGGGTGGATTTGTGTTTCAATCATTTATTCATACTGTATTTTGAATTATATTAGGATAGAGGTTGTTTTTAACTGTAAATACTAAATACTAAAAAGATTAATAAAATGATTATAATGCTTAAAGTAGCAAGATACTGAAAATATACATATGTATATGCAAGAAATATTTAAAAATGTTTGTCTCTGTTAGTATTCTTGTATCTTTTCCCCTCTATCTAGAAATATCTAATAATACACTTTAAAGTTGATCATGTTTTAAAAAACAGAGAATAAAAAGAGTACATAATAAGAAGCAGCCCACCAAAGTTTCCCTCAAAGTACATAAGCAAGAAATAATATGGAATAGTCACAAAGTCAAAAAGAAAAGTGCTTTTTTTTTCCAAAGGGAAACAGATATGCATTATGATGGTGAATAATATAAAACCTACAATACTATATCTCAGTTTGAAACATTAAGTGAATTTCTCAATACATTACTAAAGAAATTGACAGATTTTTCAATTAAAGTTGGATGAAAGGTAATTAATAATGTAGCTACTGGAAGGGGAGACGAACCATGAGAGACTATGGACTCTGAAAAACAAACTGAGGGTTCTAGAGGGGAGGGGGATGGGAGGATGGGTTAGCCTGATGATGCATATTAAAGAGGGCACGTTCTTCATGGAGCACTGGGTGTTATATGCAAACAATGAATCATGGAACACTACATCAAAAACTAATGATGTACTGTATGGGGATTAACATAACATAATAAAAAAATGGATCTAAAAATAATGTAGCTGCTGCCTAGAAAATTGTAACAGAGACATGAGAAATCTAAAAAAAGTAACTGAGTAATGTATAGAATTGTTGAAACTAATATAATCCTGTATGCTAATTATACTTCAATTAAAAGGTAAAAAATAAAATAAAATTTAAAAATAATTTAAAATTAAGAAACAAAACAGAAAAGAGAACAAACTGTTGGTTGCCCCAGGGAAGAGGGTTGGGGGGATGGGTCAAATAGGTGAAGGGAGTTAAGAGGTACAAACTTCCAGTTATAAAATAAGTAAGTCACAGGAATGAAAAGTACAGCTTAGGGAATATAGTCAATAATATTGTAATAACCTTGTAGGATGACATATGGCAACTATACTTATCGTGCAAGCATTTTGTAAAGTATGTAATTGTTGAATCACTATGGTCTACCCCTGAAATGAATATAATATTGTATGTCAACTATACTTCAATTAAAAATGTTAAAAAAAATAAATAAAACAAACAAAAAAAGAAAGGAAGGAACCCAAGTGTTTAGAAATTTTAGCATTTGTCTCTATAAGGAATATATGCTTTCCACATTTTATATCTTCACTTTAGTATTCTACTATTTGTCTTAGAATTTTACATAGAATGCCAGAATATATTGTTAACACTAAAAACCTAACATAATAGAATTTTGGAAGGTATTGATTTCTGAATAGCAAAAATAAGAAATCTAAGGTTAAGAAAAAAAATACTAACATTGAGTCTTAGAGCCCATGAAAATAATTTGAGTATATATGAAACTCACAAAGGTTAGTATTTTAAATAATTTTAATATATCTTTGAAGCTCAAAAATCTAGAAATAATAAAGCACTAAATAATAATAATAATACCCTAAGAAATAATTAAGCTTCCTTAGAATTAATTTCCCACTACTTGTGTATTAATTATGCAATAAGATTTTTAAATAATAATTTAGGAAAAAGCAATCCAATAACATAAAAATCCAACTTTGTTTTAACGAGTGTTGCATGGCAGAGAGCAATTAGCACAGACTTTCATCATGTCCATTTTTAGAGAACTCACCTGGTTAGCAATCTGCCGAGCAAGGACATCCATCCTTGATCCTGATTCTGATATCATTTTAGCTGCATAGATCACATCAGTTGTATGCTTTAGTGGTCCTTTGCCCCTTAAAGCAAAAGAATACATGTTAGTCGCAGTGGCTTATGCTAAGATACAAATGCACACACACATGAGATTTGCACCCCCGAGTACTGGCCATTCTCTTTACATACTTCAGTTTTGGAGAGGCACCAATTAGACACCAATATTAAATGAAAAATGAAAAACAAAAGAAGTCCCATTGTGTTGAGATTCAGGAAATACTGCCAAGAAGATGAATTCCATTTGATCTTCATTCCCCAGTATTTATAATAGTAGATATTTCAAAGCAAAGGTCTTTTCCTAATTTTAAGAGAAAACATGAGATTTTGGATATTTTATATATATTCAACATTGCATTTTCATCACCAAGTGTACTTTTTATCTTTCTCTTTATAATCCTTTTTAAAGATTTTATTTATTTATTTGAGAGAGAGAGAGAGAAAAAAAAAAAAAGCATGAGCAGGGGGAGAGGCAGAGAGAGAGAGAGAAAGGGAGAAGGGAGCAGGGAGCCAGATGCAGGGCTCGATCCCAGGACCTGAGATCATGACCTGAGCCGAAGGCAGACTCTTAATCGACTGAGCCACCCAGGCGCCCCTCTAATCCTTTTTTTAAGTCTTTCAGTTAATTGCATTTTGTTTTTGCCACATTATATCTTCTCCACAATTAATTAATTGTAGTATCATAGTAACACTAAGTATGAATCTGGAGTCACACTACCTTGGACTGTTTCCAAAAACAGACCACTACTTCTTACCATTTTGTATAAGTCAAGCAAGATAAACAGCCACACTGTGCCCCAGTTTCCTTAGTGGTAATAGGAGCACATACCACATGGAGTCATTCTAAGGATTACTTGAGCTAATATCTAACAAGTGCTCAGAACATAGCTTTAAAGTAAATACGTATTCAAAAATATAAGTTGTTATTGTTATGGTTGTTACTTTAAAATAATTTTGGTTCCAAATGCCATGGAATAAAAGTTGGGTTCATTTATGGGTTTTACAAGCTAGGTAAAAAGAAAGAAATGCACTTCTTACACTTTTGGAGTGGGATCACATAAGGAGATATTTTTTCTATCTCTCTTTCCTCAAAAATAAATGATTATCTGAACGAATGGAGCTTCCATATACCCCAAGCTCTCCTTTCCCTATGACCAATTCCTTACCCTCTTCTCTCTGTCAACACACTGTTCTAATTTGGTTTCTGTTCCTTGTTCCTAACACAAAATGGGACCCTGAAGGAATCACTCACAAAAGTAAATGTTGTGATGCTTTGAAAGGAGCAGAGAGAATCAGGGAGGCTCTAGGGAAGATTAAGCCAGTCAGGGTGAGAAAAGGAAGATTCTGAGAGGCTAAAATACAGTGGAGTTAGGATCGAAGGGGAATGAAAACAATCTCTGTCCCTGTCTTATTTACACCTTGGATGTGTCTTGAGAGTAGATGCCCTCATGTGAAATCTAAATTAGATTTATTGTTAGAGGAAAATCTCTCTTCACTAAGGAGACTGTCCCTGGGTAATAATAAAAGACAGAGAGGATTCATGCAAAGGTAAATGATGAGAGTATTCTTAGAAACCTGGATACCAAAACGCTTATGCCCTATAAGCCCAAATGGCCCTTTTGTTGCATTTTTCTTGTGATGGCTTTCAAATTTATTATAAGCAAGTTTTCCTGAAAAAATGGAACTGCATGTTTAACTCAATGAAAACCTGGCCTCAGTATATATGCTTATCACCATACTTCTCCTCTTTGAATCTGTTGACATAGATTGCTTTGTAATTTTTTAAAAATTGGCATTAATTATGACAATGTTTGAGTTGCTCTTATCAAGTTTACTTAATGCATCAGGCAGAACTAGATGTTATGGGCATGGTTACTTTCAAGAAAGGCAATGTGTTTCATTATTTCCACACATCTCTAGAGAAAGTTAAACTTAAATAAGGCTGTCTAAGATTGAAAGGCAATGTATCAATTTTCCAGGTCTTAAACAATGGCCAAAGGTTGTTTCTGAGTAGAGCAGGAACACTCTTGTAGCTTAAACAATGGACAACAAGTTACATCCAAGGAATGCAGCTAATGCACACTTCGCTGTCAAAATAATATATTTCCCCATATAAAAACCCTAGACTGATGAAAGGGAAATTACCTTTAGCTTTAAATTCATACGTTGTTATGAGACCACTATCTTAAACACATGTAGAACTTAAAAGTAATACATTATGACAGACCACAATTATTCTCTTCTTCATGTTACTAATTAAATGTATTGCCTGGCAAGCTTCCTACTGAGTGCCAAACCAAATACACATTTTACAAATGATTCCATATTATGCCAAGCTTCCAGAGGAAGCTGCAATTACTGAAATATAATAAATTTTTAACATTCCAGCCTGAAATGTGCTATGTAATGAAGGCTTTTTAAATTGGGAAATGCATTCAAAGGTTGTTTGCTGCCTTCATTTTCATAATGGGTTCTCAGGCTCTCCTGTCAGCAAATCGTGTCTTAAATCATTGATTTGGATCCGACAGAGAAAGATACCCAGAGGAGGATGGGATAAACTTTAGAAATATTTTAAAGAAACTGGAGGCCAGAAATCTCTGAAAAATAGTGGTTGCAATAATAATCTATTTCCTCCAAAAGGAGAGCAGATCTAGCTCCGGAGTAGGGAGTCTGCCATGTAATCATCAAACTATAGGTTAGAAGGTATAATGGGAAAGGTTTCAATAACCCAGCAATGTTGATGCCATGGAAAAATTTTTTAGGCATGTGAAAGGAATACCTTTGAAACTTAATTTATTGGTGCAACAAAAACCTTTCAGCCATTTTGATGCTGCCCCGACCTTGACTCCAATTCCTCCCACATCCCCACTGCATTTCTGGACCTACCACTCCCTTCTTTCTCTTTCGATTAGCACGAAAAAAAAAAAAAACGAGATGATGCAGCTGATCAGTAAAACCTCTATTAAGTAGGGATCTGGTTTAAGAAGAGAAAATATCAAACAGTTTTATAGACTTATTTTGTTATTTCAGAGACAGAGAATATGTATGAAATGATTTGATGTTTTCTGCCACTGTTTAAAAACAAAACAAAAAAACTTTATTATGTATTTTGCACTTTGTAGCCCCTAAATTTTTGATAACATAATATTACGCCATTTTCAAGACCTAAAACTATCCCTTTAATTCTCTTCTCCTTTGGTATTTATATAGAATAAGTCCCATGATGTTATGGTTCACTTAGTAGATGAATACCATGACAGTATATATTTTGTTCCATAATTGTAACTAACACATTTAGCATTTTCTGTGTGCTAGACATTATTCCATACACAAACTGATTTGATCATTATAATAACATTATGAGTTTAGAATTATTATTACCCTTATCTTGCAGATGAGGAAACTGAAGGATAAAGATGTTAAATATATCTTTTATTAAGTTACACAGGTAGTAACTATTAGAGATGGGATTTGACCTCAGGCAATCTGGCCACAGGATCTGCCTTTAATGACTATCTTATATTTCTTCTAATAAAACACACTAATACAAAATTAAAATATTAATTTTAATTGTTAACTAGGTTTATTGTGATGATAATTTCACTATACAAATATCAAATCAATTTTTAACACCTGAAACTAATATAATGTTATATGTCAATTATACCTCAATAAAATATAATAAAATAAACATAGGAAAAAATATTATAAACATCTCCTTAGACATTGATGGCAGTTACCATGAATGCAGTAGAGAGCAAAGACAAGGATTAGATCTATGTGCTGGGTGGTTAAGAGGTTCACCAACAGCGATTTCCTCATGCACAATAGCCTCAAGAAACACATCTATCTCCTAGTCCCAACAAAATAAAAATGTGCTACATTACATAGACATTTAAAGTAACTTATAGTTCTGGGATTTCTTTCTTGAGATACTCTTACTTTTCTCTGTTACTCATGTCAGTACCCTTCCTCCCTCTCCTACTTTCCTTGGATTCTTGACACCAAACTCAAACTCAGCCATTACATAAGCCATGCTAGAGGGGAGATTGCATTTGGATGATTATTTATAATACAAGACATAGAACTTTTATCTAAGAATCTTAGCTTTAGACATAGTTATTTTATTTAATTCTAACACTCAAACTTGATGTTACTATTGCAACTCTACTGAGTAAAATGAAATGAATATAGACTCAGTAAATACATTTTGTCTGCATCCCAGTTCTGCTACTTATAAGCTATGTAGCCTTGGGTAAATAACAGTTGGTCTGAACTTATTTTCTCTTCATTAAAATGATTGTGATACTTGCCACATGGTAAGGATTCACAAAATCATGTATTTTTCACAATATTTGGCACATATTAGATGCTCAGCAAATGTTACTTTTTTCTTTTCTTCATCCCTTTATGAATAATGGTATTTTATTAAAAAAATTATGCTTTCCTTTTTTATTTAAAAATTACAGTACATGCCAAACAATATGAACAGACTTGATTCATCTTTCTTATACCTGATGACAATATAACTCTGTATAACCTTGTTCATAATATTCTTTCATAAGGTTATAAAATATATACACTCATAAACTGTGTGTTCATAGTCGTTGTTGTTCAAGGTTGTTCTTTAATTCCTTATAAGGAGTTGATTTACATTTAGTGACACCTTTTTGATAGTATAAACCTCCTAAGATAGGTGATTTAGCTCTACAAGAGTACCATCAGAATTCTCTTACTTGTAATTCTGAAATTAGATACAAAAGGAAAAAAAGTAATTATCATGAAAGCAACCAAAAACGATGAGATAAAGAGAGGTACCAGACTCAAGCAAGGACACCTTGTTTTTCTACTTTTCAAACATGAAATTTTAATTAGGCAACTCTCTACCTCTGGATGTTACTTTCTCTTGTAAAGTGTTATTCTCAAATTTTGAGGACTCTATAATGGAAAATCAGCAAGTGAATAATCTGCTAACAATCATCCTGAGCAATTAGTATCCTAAGAAACCTTTGGGATTCAAGTCAGA